GAGAAGTTTGGATGATTTATCCATCCCGGATTGTACGTTTCAAAGTGAGGATTATTTTGTGGACGTGACCCCATTGAGCAAAGTCCACATGTTCCATCCTTTGTGTAAGGATAAGACATTCAGCTGTATTATGTTATGCTCCACATTCATCACAATTTGGTATCCTCGCTTGTGCTGAATTCACAGTCTGTGTTATGCCCCTATTTTTTTAAAAATAAGGAGTCAATCTTTGCAGATAATGCCGAATAGGTATCTACCTCATTCACTCCAACAGCTTTCTTTGTACCCACTCAATCCGACGACCACATGGCTGATGTATTATCCATTTTCTCAAACAATTCCCAAGCTCCCTCAATTGACCTTGTAATTAGGGAGCCATTGGTTGAAGAATCCATCATGCTCCTGAAAGTTGGAGTTAGTCCCACATAGAAGAATTTGATTTGTGTTGTCTTATCGAACCCATGTTGAGGACACTTCCTTATCATGCTTTTGAATTTGTTCCACGCTTCATCAAAGGATTCGGTTTCATGTTGGCAAAATATTGATATGTTGTGCCTCAATCTCGCCACTTTGGCTGGTGGGAATTATTTGGTACAGAATTTATGAGTCAAATCGTTCCAGGTAGTTATACGTGCCATGATTGTATTTTCTGATATTCCTTGGTATCTGAAATGTGGACACATATCTAAGAAACAGGATACATGTGTATATGGATTCTCGTTGGTTGTCCCGTAGAATTGATGTTCATTTTAAAAGAGTTGGATGACAGTTGTCTTTAGTTGAAAGTTTGGTTGTTCGAATGTTGGGTAAACAATGTTGGATTGGCTTTGAATGACGAATGTTGACAAGAAATCCCTAATCAAAGCATTCCCATCATATTGAGCTTCAGCATTGGTTGGAGCTGTAGGATTTAACCTCGGTTCCAGTTGTTGATCAGCCATTTGTAGTTGTCCTTGATTGACCTTATGTGCTGCCCTCGCTATCCTCTGTCCGCGATGAAAAGTTCATTTAATTTCCAATTCAGCTTGAAGTAACTCAAAGCTGATTGATCTTCATATGCAATATTTGAAGAAGCGAAAAATAATAGCACATGACTCAGCCTAAGTGAATAAACTTAAATGGAAAATAAAATGTAAACTAAAATAAAAACAAACACGTTTGAATTAGTGTCTAAATAACAAAAACCAAATTAATACTCAATCCCCGGCCACGGCGCTAAAAACTTGTTCAC